CGCGTGTACTATGTTATCACGCTCGCGGGCTCTTGTCGAGAGCGTGTTGCACAAAGGAGTGACTCAAGTTCCTTGATTATTGGAGAGTTTAACGAGTGACAGACGTGAGCAAGAAGAGGCAAAGCCTGCTGCACCAAGTCTGTCTATCATACCCATATCTATCTCATCTGCGTAACCCCCTCGGAGATCTGGGAGAATTGTATCCTGCCGTGTACACACACAAACAGCCCCCCTACTCGGTACGAGATACGATCTACGAGATCCTCCGTACATAACGCCAGGTAAAACGGCAACAAATCTAAAAACCATTCATCTTTCGTATCCACAAATAAATCATCTCAACTCCCGGATCTATCGAATATTCAAGTTTCAGGTTACTACTCCTCCTACGACTATGGAACTTCGCTAAGAGTCTTAACAAGCACCCCTCTCGAGAAAATGTCGTCACCACATTCTCAAGTAGTCAAACACAAAGATTTATCCTTGGAAGATTACTCAGCAAAGATCAACATTACATCAGAGCCACGTCATAAAGACTCTGGACGGACAACTCTGGCAAAACGCGTCAACAAATACCTCGAACAAAACCCTCGCACAAAACTATGTTTCAACTCATTGACCAATTTGAACTAAGCTTCGGAAGCACATAGGCCTCAACCATGTCTTACCAAAATATGTCAAATCCTTCCTCCAATACATCGTTCAGAAAAGTCATCAATACCTAATACATGCGGCACAAATAGACAAACGTTAAAAACCCGGCGTTCAAAGACGCCAGAGGAAACTTTCGCCAATTATTATGCCGTTTCTCAAACATCCAGACATGGACTTCTTGACAGCCCTCCTGCTGCATCATCGCCCAAAACACAAACGCTAACAGCCCCCCTGCTGCAACAACTCTCGGATCCAAACAACAAGAAATCAAACGAATATCATGAAGTTACCTCCGAACTCCGCGGGAAAAACGCGGAATCGCGAATAAACAAGAAATAAATATATTTCTTATCCTAGCAACGAGGAATCAGACAAGTATCATGAAGTTGCCTCAAACTCCGCAGGTGTACGCGGAATCGCAAACAAACAAGAATTGAGGACGAAGTTGCCTCAAACTCCGCAGGTAAAAGCGGAATCGCAAACAAACAACAATGGAGGACTTCTCCTCATTTTCCGCAGGTAAAACGCGGAAAACGTGAACAAAATGAACAATCAAACCCGAACGTCCGCTAGAACTCTGCTTGTACTGCGGCGAAGATCATGGCATCTCAGCATCACATTCATCCCCCCCCATGATTTTCGACAGCAGTGCTAGCAGTGACCCAACAACATCAACTGCACCATTCGGCGCGGTGAAGTCCTAGACTATGCAAACCATATATCCTTGACAAATGAAAAACACATGTACCACAGACCATAAACACCACGTTCGTTCGTGCGCATCGCAACACAGCAGCCTACGTCGACGCAGTTCTCAAACTCATGGCTTTCAACAAACAAAATCGACCCAGAAAATAGAAAGCCAAATGAACATAATTCTCACGAACGTGCCTGAATCGCGCGTAGACTCATGGTGCAACCACCGGTCATCTCGCACGGTAGCTCCCGAACACGTAGCCTCTCAATTCATGCCGCACCCTTCCAGCCACGATCGAATGTCCAGCCCTGGCATTACCCCCCATCGTCCCGCACCACGCAGATACCATTGTACACGGTCGGATGGGCGCCGGGATGCCCCGCACCCGCACCCGCACCCGCAGACAACGCCACGAAGCTGCCGTCGCCGCTGCCGCCGTTGCTGTTGCCGCCTTCGCCGCCATTGTCCAACCAACAGCCATCCTCATCGCACGCGTCCTCCGCTTCTTGCGCTGCTGGTGCCGGTGTAGCTGCTGATGTGGGCACTGCGATCGCCCCCCCAGTTAATACGGCGGGGGGTATCTGACCGCAGGTCGACGAAACCTCCAGTGCCACCGTTCCTGCAGCTGACGGCGTCCCGGCCGTTCCCCCCATCGACGAGTCGGGGAAAACACCAATACCTGTCGTCGTCCCCACCGTTGTTTCCGCTGCTGAAGCCACGCCTGCTGACGACACAAGTGGTGGGCCCGGCTGCACATGCAGTGCCGGTTTCTTGGCCGCCAATTCCCCCCGTTGCCTCCGTATGTCAGCAAGCTCTTCTTTCATGCTTTCGAGTTCATCCGTCGCCGGTGCCGCCGCCGGTGGCACCACTGATACCGTCGCTTCAACAGCAAGTGCCTGCTCCCCGGCCGTTCCCCCAGCCGCCGCCGCGGGGAAGACTCTGTTGCCGGGGGTCCCCGCTCTCGCCGCCGTTGCTGCCTCCGGTGCCGCCGCTCCAGCCGCGAGTGCCTGCGCCGCGGCCGTTCCCCCCGCCACCGTAGCGGGGAAACCACCACCACCGGTCGCCGCTCCCACAGCAGTTGCTGTGCCCCATGCCACCGCTCCATCTGCAAAGGGGAGGAGCGACTCCGGCTGATGCCTGTGCCTGTGCCTCCTCCAGCGTCGTCGCTTCCGCTGCTGGTACGGCATAGGGTCGTTGCCACTCGCGTTGAGACCCTCTCCATCACCGACATGCACGTGCTGTTGCATGCGGCCGGTTGTGCAACACATGCGGCGCCGATGACCATACTCACCGCAGGCAGTGCAGTGGCCTTCAAAGCGTCGTGGCGCATTGCAGTCGCCGAGTGAGTGTCCATGCCTCCCGCACCTCACGCACTGATGAACGGCACCCATCGGAGCGCCTGGCGGCGGAGCTGACTCCTCTTGCGGGTACACGGCGTTGCGCCCACAGTCATAGAGCCCCCCAGATCCCCACGTGGGGAAATTAGGAGGTGGGTGGTGTACAGGTGGTGGTTGTGGATGAACCCACTGTTGTTGCTGCTGCTGCTGCTGCCGCCGCCGTTGTTTCCCCTTCTGACCGACGCCGCCATGACCGCACCCCAAACCACCGACCGCCTTCGATTTGCCCAATTCCTTGATCTCGACGTTGTCAGCGTATGCCGTGCGAACAACTTTTTCCACTTTCGCTCGGGGAATGGTGGGGTCGGCCAGGATAGACTTGCGTTCGACATCGTACTCGGGCGAAAGCTGGCGAACAATGATGTGGACGATTTCCCGCTCGGATTTTTCAATGCCGACAGCTCGCATGATGTTGATGATGCCATCAACTCTGGCAAAGAAAAGCTTCGGGTTCTCGCCAGGGGACATCTCAACTGCCTCCAACCGTCGCACAAGCAATGTCTTCTCGGCGTCGAAAGTAGGCAAAACCCATTCGCGGATCACCCTCCACGCCTCAGGGACGCAGTCGCAAGCAGCCAACCGTTCTTCAATGTCCGTGCCGCAGGTTGCTTCCAACAGATATCCCCACGCCCGCTTGTGTGCCGTAACGAGCGCCGCACCATGAACCCGGTTCAGATATATGCAATCCAAACAGCTGATGACAGGAACATAGCCAGTGGGATAGGTGTCTTCAAGCGTCTGCTCCAAACCCTCGCTAGCCAGGAAAATCCGCAATCTCCGCAACCAGTTCACGGCCTTCGCTGAATCTTTCGGGATTTTGGGCGGTATGCGACTGCTGCTGTAGCCGCTCAACGCACAATTTCCGTCATTCATCATGCTCACCCGTTGTGTACCGAGACCAGCTCCACCAGCTGCCCAGGTAGACGTTCTCCCGGCAGCCATTACTCTTGCCGGTGCATCATTCTTCTCCGATAGATGCCCATGTTCCCTCTCCGTCATGTCCTTCTCCCTCGCCATCTCTTCTCTTCCTCCGCCAAATTACCGGAGGAAATGGGACAAAGGAAAACTGAGCTGCTACTTTGGGCCAGGAAAAACAAGCAGAAAAAATCGAAAAAAAATAATTGCTCAAATGGAAAGAAACATAGTTCTTTGCCGGAGCTCGAACCTACGACCTACGAAATAGATAGACGTCCAGTCAGAGATATTGTCTGTTCCATGAAATGTCCCTTACATTGTAGGCCAGAGTGGTATTTACTTAGTTGCCAACTACAGTACTGCTGTACACTCCACATCATAACCTACAGTCCACTACCTGGCAATCCCGACGGGCAATTTTTCATGGTCGACACATTCCTCTGCTTCTGCGCCCCCCGTCCGCTCTATCTCGAACGAATATTCTTCTGTGTTTCTCTGTTGGTTTCTAAGAAACTCTTCATCGATCGATCGGGTGATTCCTCACTGTCGGATGCTTGAGTTCCGCCTTGTGTTGTCAAACGTGATCAATAAAAACTGTCACCAAACCAGCTGGTGACATTGAAAGGAGTTTGACTAGAAGGTCCGAGAGCAGAGAGTTGACAAGCACGTCCAAAGCAATGGCTCGAAAAGAGTTTTTCTAGGTTGCTGAGAGGCGTATGTATTTGAAACGTACCAAAGTAGCTTGCTGCCTCACGTCCAAAATCCCCGGGTGTCCTCGCCTTGATACCTTCCCGCGCTCTATGTGGAGTTCTGTATGGCGTCGTGCGTGGGTTGTAAATTAAATACATCGCTAAATGTCATCAACCAAGAATACTTCCAGTGCGCTTGAGAAGACACCTTGGGGTTCGAAACGGCGTCATCCCAGAGGGGTCTTTGCAAAGAGCATGAGCTAAATGTGGCGACTTCTACACTAAATAGACATTGCTAACAATGCCCTGTCTCCACGACGACCAAGGAGCACGTGGTTGGTCGTAGATCCAAAATGGTGTACGGGTCTTGTTTGTATCACGCTTCCACTGCTCTGTTCATGACTACCGCTACCACCTTATCCCAAGCGTACATCCGCCCCCCACCCTCACCATTTTCCCCACTCGCTCCCAGGCGAGAGCAGCTTCAGGCCGCGAACAAAGCCTCTGATGGCGGCCCTGGTAGTCGACGAAGCCGGTGGTGAGCCACCCGTCCTCCCTGAAGACCCGCCGTCTCCGGTGTGGTGGCCGCTCGAGGAATCTCTGGTCGCGCGAGGCAGCCATCTACCGATCTACACATTCGTGTCACAGTTCGCCGGGGAACACGCGTGCGTGCTTTTCAATGGTGACGGAAACGACGATCAAAACCGCGAGGCGCTTTCACCAGAGCAAGTCGCTGACGTCGATTTTCTGCGCGGGTTGAACCTCCAAGGGCTCGAGGCCGGCGGGGCGGCTATCGCCCCACTCCGGAGGTTCATGGTGTCTCCAGCAGCTGCAGCAGCCGGCGGAGGTAAAAAGTCAAGATACGACGAGGACAACCTACCAACCCCCGCCACGCTTGTCGCAGACCTCAAGGCGACCGGAAATTTCAAGAGCGCCATCACCGACATGGATGACGACGGTAGCGGCGCCCCCCTGCCTTACCTGGGTTACCTGGTTTTCGCGTGCGCCGACGAGGTTCACGAGGACGACGAAAAACAGTACATTTTCGCGACTTCCGAAGATTTAGCCGAGGCGGTAGCGGAGGCAGAATCTGAAGTAGTTGACCCGGAGGCCGATGAAGGTGACATTGGAGCTGAAGCGTACCGTGAGATCACGTTGCGAAGCCGGGCACAGCTCACCTCCCTGAAGCAGTACGTGCTGAAGCAGCGAGTTTTCTATGTTCTGATACATACGGACCGGAGGCAATATGCTGAGTTATCCGATCAGGATATGGGCTCTGACGTGATACTTCTGGCGCTGGGGGTGTCGCCCGCGACCGGAAACCTGGTTGGTGTTATCGCAATCCAGGCGTGTCATAACTTGTGTGACTGAGCTGTATCGTAAGCCGGCATCCAGCTGTGCTTGGCCTTGGTATACGTTGTTGATATGTTTATGGGTCTTGGCACGTCTCACTAGCGCATCATAGAATGTACGCACGTTCCGGCATGGTCCAGAAAGTTTTCGTGTGTTTATTTGTTGTTTGATCCTTTGTTTTTTGTCGTCGACGTCGTCGTCGTCGTCGCGATCGTCGTCTTGTTGTTCTTGTTGGTGATGCTCTTGCTCTTGGTGGATTTGTTGTTGGTCGTTGGTCTTACCTGTGCTGACATCTAACGAGGACGTCTTTACTTATCTATCCCAATCGCCGAACAAGCGATTCTCCGTGTTGACATGGTAACCGACTTAAAGTTCAACCCCACCTAAACACAAAAACGAAAAGCCCCCATCTACGCCCACCGACGGCTCATTTGGGACAGTGACTTGTGGAAGCAAGTACAGTGCAGCGCGTCGTTTGTGTTAAACATACACGCCACCAGAACCAGCTTTTCTTTCCTGGTCCGCTCGTCCTGCAGAGCGACTGATGCTATTTCCAGCACCAAAGGGTTCTCCGCCTGGACTTGGGCATCTCGCGAGGTCAACGACTAGCTGCGAAAGCCAACATCCACCAACCCTATAAGGCAACCCCCATCCCACGGCCGTGTATATACAGTTTGCGTGGACGTCATCCGACATCAACACCACCCGCTTGGTCGTTAGTCTGCATGTCCCTCAGAGCGGCCAGCAGCTTCGCCTGCCGCCTCATCAAGGCCGCCCTTACCGCGACCTCTTCCTCCCTCTGCTTCTCAGTGTTCCCCAGACCGCTTTCTACGGCGTCACCCTCCAGCCCTCCCCTCTCGTCTGGCTCGCGAAAGTCATCGTCTTCGAGCTCCCAGCTTAGATATTTCTCACATACTTCACGGCATGTGGCCCTGCCAGGCCAAATGTCAAAGCCTCGTTCCGCTGCATCAGCAACGGCCACTGTTTGGAGAACAGGTGATGCGCCGCCGATAGTGTCGTCAACACCTGAGGTCTCTGGAGTAGAACGAATATTTTCGTCGGTGCTTCCTCCTTTTCCTTGGGTTTCGTCTTTCGGTTGGAGACCTTCGCCGGCGGAGGGAGGATCCTTATCGGCGAAGTTGTCCCGCTCTTGCTGCACTTCTTCTTGCTGTGCCACCTTGTCATTGTCTTCGTCGATGTTGTTGCTCCCGTTGTTGCCACCGACGTTCTCGTTTGAAGGGGGCACAGCGGACGATGGATCAGTCCTCTGTGTCTCCACGGCCAATTTGAAAGACCACCGACCGGAGGACGGCAGCGCTCTCTTCCAAGTCTTGGGCGGTACAAAGTTTTCCTGAAGACACAAAGCACCAGCCACCATTCGTGATTTGTAGAGAGAACATGTGGAGCGAGCGGTGGGGGGTGTTACTTGGGCAAGGTCCGTCGGCACTTTACCGCGTGCGAGGACGTTCCTGTAGGTGGTCGTTGTGACCACGGAGGCCCGAAGAGATTCGGGGTGATGTCGCCAGATATTGCGCCGCATCGATGTCCTGCGTCCCTCTTGGTAGGGAAACCGTTCGCCCTCAGAAGAAACCAGGCGAGAACACGTACGTAGTAGGATGGCGTTCATCTCAAGATCACCATCAACAGCAACTATCTTGCGCCAACGAAAGGTCTAACACGTCATAGAAACTCATGGCGGGGGCCTCGAATGCCTTTAAGATAATACCTGGTATGCGCTTGTAAGCATGAGGGTATATCATGTGTCCACGTGGGCTAATCATGCTTTAAATTAATCGTTTATCTTGTACACTAGCAACAACAAGCCCGCTTGTTTAAACAACGAACGCTCTCATGATGACAACAATGACTGCTCACGGTGTGGGATCCGAACGCTCCTGAAGGAAACGCCTGCATGAGAGCCGGCTTTCCAATATCCATCGGAATCCGGACCAACTCCATTACGGCGGCCGCCAATCGCTTCTCGTCAGGACGGTTGAGATTCAACCGGTATGTTCCGTCCGGGCGAAATGGGTTGAACACATTCAGCCATCCCAACGCGTCTCCAACTCGTACCATGTCCTCGTCGGGGAGCTTTCCACGGCACGGACGAGGATTGAAGGGGATGGGGGCTAGTGATTCGTTGTCTGTCTTACAAATCAATATTGCCCGCTGTACCAGTTCGAGCTGAATAAAACAATGTGTGGACAATTATCGTGGTCGGATCTGTGTAGACTACTCGAGTCGAACCTGCTCAAGGTTTCGGAACCTTGAACATGAGCCGCCCCTTCCAACTGATCATCACGCACCGATCATACTTCCATGATACTCAGAGATTAGGGAAAGTCGGAGGTAACACAATACCGTTCGTGCACGGCTAAGGACAGGGATTGAAGTACTCAACGCCGCCTGAGACGACGTGCCATCCGCTGGCATCCGTTGATGTAACGCACGGGTTGCTGTTGGGGACATGGTAAATCAGATATACTGTAATGCAATGCGGATGGTCTACGTACAGCCACGCACAGATATGTTCTCTGTGGTGCCGATAGCTCCAATTCATAACGACCTGTTTCACAGCACTGAACAATGTAGAGAGAAGAATTCCCAAAGAGCTGAATGTGTAGCACACGAATTAAAGGGGCACGTCTGCCGGAGGAAACATGGTCCACACCTGGTGGGTGACCCGGTGAAAGTTCTCGCGGTCTGTCAGTCTTCGAAACAGGAACGTCACGGCTTCCACTGGATCGCAGGGGTTTTCCTTGTCGTTCTTAGAGCGGTGACGTTTTCAACGAAGGGATCGTGACAGGGGGGAAGAGGGAGCGATAGAAGGGGTGGGAAGACAACAAGCAAGCTGCAATATGGGAGGTAAGAACGGCTCGGGACTTTGTAATTCCCCATTCAAAACTCAACACTAGGAGACGGGATGACAGGCTAGGCCACGGCTGGATAATCGTTTTGCTACCCATAGGGTGCCCTAGGCGACAATCAATGCCAAACCCGTGGTGAGAAGACAACGGGGCGATGGGTCAGCCGCCCCAAATTCCATGCTGCTTCGTAGACAAACTGGTCCGCGAACTGACGTGGCGTCACCTTGAGGGCGTAAAAGATCCTTGCTAGTTGGTCGGTGGAGAGCCAGATTCCTGAAGAAAGCCTCCTGAGCGTCGGTAGCCGCCTATCGGCCAACTCGCGCACCATTAGCAACCTGCAAAGTGTTTCCGGATTTAGACATGGATGGGGGGGGATCATCAGTTTTGTGATCTGTGTTCATTGTTTTAGTGGAATTATGGTCGGGCTTGAGCAGAAAACGGGAAGGAGTCGTTGTGTGCCAGTGTATAAGAAGCTCATCATTGGCAAGCTTAGGCATTCAAATAAGGGCGTTCAAAGGGTTTGGTAGCCATCGGACATGTCACGAAGATAATCAGCGACCGAGGTCATACCTAGTCCGGGCAGCTACACTTAGGTCGTCATTGGCTTGAGCGGGGGATCCTTCTTGCCCTGGACAGATGCAAAACCTTCAGTACACCGAGTAGTCGCATACGTCAACTACGTGCTACAGGTCCCTCTTTCCCCCCTAAACGTCCTTTGTCCAACGGGCTGTTTACCTCCACACATTCGCGAAATCCTTCTGGTCAAGCTGTTGTTTGACTTTGGCTTTGTCACCCTCGTCTTCTTCGTCCGCCCCATCTTCCTCTTTGATATTTTCTTCGTTGGTGCTGTTGCCCGTGCTAGTCTCAATCTGGTTGTGCATGTGCCAGATGAAAGATCGCGAGGCTTTAGTTCACCCGATATTTATTCTGCAAGCATCTGCTTTAGCTTGTACCGATATGCTGAGTTGAAGATGCACACGGCCCACGCAGGCGGGTGCTGGAATAAAAATGAGTGGTTTTTCAAGGCAGTGAGTAGTAGATCATCGATGATGTGTCTGCCCAACAAGCCGCACATAGCCGCTGGAAGCTAATTACAGTAGTTGGATATTGGACGAGTTTCCTTGTATGCATGGCTTGACGATCCCGTCACCCGAGTTGCGGGGAAAGTACGACAAATGCAGGCCTAGTCGTCGAATTGTCATGTATCCAATACGTTTGGGCCAACACGAGATATCTCATCAGCGGATGGATGCACCGTGCGCGCGCAAGAGTTGTGTGCACGCAATGGGTAGCATCCTGACTGCACTCTGAGTGACGGCCGACGACATGCTAGGCCTTGGCAAACCTTTTGTTGGTCTCCGCTCTCGCTGTCGTCGTCAGCTTGGTTGGCACCACCCGTGTTGCCATCGCCGTCCTTGTCATCATCAACCGTAGCAGACGAGTCTTCTTCGTGCTGGATAGTCTGGATCTCGGCGATGGCGTCACGGACCTGACCGTTCATGAGGGGGCGGTCGGTGGGCCCCAATGTTTAGCAGGAGTGCCAAAACACAATTCTGGGCATACTGCACCCCACCTCGAATTTCATTCCTGCCTGAAGGTCAAGGATGTATTTGAAGGACCCATGACATGTGACCGATACTGGCGTAACCCTACAACGCATGTTGTACACACTAGCCACCCAGTAGCGTTCTTTCAACGCTTGTGTTTTTCTCCAACTTATCGTTAAATCGGTGCTAGCCAGGACCTTGACACTAAAAAGCCTGTCGTTGAGCGAGAAAGTCTAATCTGCCTCTGTGTTCAACGTACGACTTTTCGCGAACAGATGGCGGCTCGCAGACGCGGTGGGCCACGACTCAGGTACTGTAGTTTCGAAGTTTCCCTTCGGTCGCATGCGCCACACACTTGCCGACAACCACCGTCACCATCACTGAGTGCACCTGCTGAATGCTTGGAGTGCGCGGAAACCCTGACGCCTTTGTCATGAGCGTTTGCGCAATCACAGGGTCTTGACCTCCCTGCAGAAAAAAAGAAATCCAGTTTCGGAGCGGAGGAGGTTGAAGGTAAGGACTGGAGCCTTCGTTGGGTATGTTCGCCTAGTTGAGTCCTCCGTTGGTAACGTAGACCTTCCGACACGAACATATTTACATTTTCACAATCCGAACCGTTCACATTGTGAGGGACCGTGTGTGTTGGTGGAGAAGTGTTTTCTATCAGCAACCCCTCGGCGCGCGATACCGTTGAGGCGAGGCTCAGTATGCCTCCATCGAAAGCGCCCTTCGAGAAGTCTCCCCCCCCCGTGGGTCGTAGTTACACGGCGTGGACTAGAGACAAACAGCGGAAAAGAAATCAACGACTAGTGCTTAAAGGGGAGGACGTATTGCTGGTCGTTCGGTGTTTGGGCTCCCCTTGCGTACCTTGTCAAAAGCTCGAAACGCATCGGCAATAAATGCCTCGGCGACCTCGCCCTGTAAAGGAGCGGGCTGGTCCTCGAGGATTACATGGGTAGCCATGAACACTCGGAATTCTTGATCTGTCATCGGCGACGGCGACGTTTCCTCTCCGTCTTCCATGTATGCCTTCGACGATTCAAGTTGTGTTTCATGAGAATGAGGCCACAGAAAGGGGGCGCGGAGAGAAAACAAGGTTCTCCACAGCCACTGTTAAAAAAGCGGACTGTTAAAAAACCGGACTACCATCGGGCACCGATACCGGCGCCCATCAACGTAAGCAGGAGGGTTGAAACAAGCACACGTTGCAACCTCACCACCATCGCTACCTCCACAGCTACATCGCCATCGCAATATATTCTATTCGCGGTACTCACCTCATGAGCATGAACGCGAACAACAGCTCACCGGTTCAAAGGGCGAGACGTAGTCGATGCACAGTAGGCCCTGTGGCGGAGGCACCCAACCGCCTCCCTTAGGATACACGAATGGGTTCCCGTCTAGCATTCCGTTCCTGAAATTGTCCCAGTCGCCGTTCTATAGGAAACAGCAGCAAGCAGCATTTCAGGAATTTCTTCATCAGTGCTCCAACAAACGGCATCCGATGAGTCCCTGAGATAAAACAGATATTAACGCGACCGTCCACATTACAAGGCGAAGCTCGCAGGAAGCGTCAAGCCAAGTAGGGAACCAGAGCTGCCAAACGCAGAACCGCTAGACCGGCTTTCGCGTCGTTTCTTTCTCGGATGTAGGTTTGGTCGGTGAATCACGAAATAATGTGCATGAGCTACACACGAGCGCCGTAACCCGACGGTTAGCAGTTTGACGGAACGTGCAAAACGGAACGTGCAAAACGCCCAAGTTCTCAATACGCACATTTTGGCGTCGACCTCGAACGGGCCTCATCGACATGGTCATAAGGCTCTTTGGCGTTGCATCTAGTATGCGATCCAAACGAGAGAGAAGCACCACCCCCAGGACGCATTCGTGCACTGCTCTTCTTCGCTCTCTCTCTCTCTCTCTCTCTCTCTCTCTCTCTCTCTCTGTCCCTCCCTCTTTCACAGACCTGACTTACGTCCTTCATTCCCGCCAGCTGAAAAGCACTTCTCTCCATCATACTCAACTGACGTAGATGCGCAGCATTCAATATCCGGAGGATGCCCCGCCATGGCGCGCAAAAAAGAGAAACTGATATGATTAGTCATGCTCAATACACGTACTCTTCCGGGCGCTCCAGACGTGCTTTCAATACGGATACGATCTATAACTCCAAGATCATGAAAATGTATATAACTTTCTTGTTTTGGATTCGGGTCTGCTACAATATGCATATCTCTAGAGTTTGCTGGTCTACACCGCTGCAGGAGTCTCAAAAAGAACATGAAGGTCGTGCCTCAGAAATGATTCGCCTTTATTCCAGGACGAAACTCTAGGTCACTCACATCCGCCAGTCTGGTTGCCGCCAGCCGCTCGGCAGGAATTCCTAGCCGGAGGCGGTAGCTGCAGGTGGGGTTGCTCGAGCTGAACCACCTCAAGAACGATCCCATACACCCGATGTGTTCAACCTTGGGGGATAAAGTTCAGATAGATGAGTTGGCTTAACAAGGCCGTCGCCATTATCTCTTTGGTTGACCTGTAGGTGGGAGCGCAAGGCAAGCCCTTGACGAATATTTACTGATCTACCACAGCATTTGTTCGTCTAACGCAACCTTCTACTGGAAGGCATTGAAGGAGATGGGACGTTTGTTGAGTACACACGAAATACCGCATTATCAGGAAGAGATGGATTGAACAGCACGGGTCGCAGAAACACAATAAATGCAACAGCGTAGTCGTAAAACACACAGCAAAGGTCGTCAAGTTGCCCATCAGAACCAAGTCGTGAGGAAATAGAACGAGGTACTTGGACTCTATTAGGGTAACCAACCAACCGATCTAGCCTGCACAAATTCACCAGACCAAAGGAACACCTTTTCGCGCTCGGTGGATGGCAGTTCGTCCAGATATTTCTCAGCATCTTCCGTTCGAGGGTTATGTCGAATCAGCGCCGCGGCTACCCCAGCCCTCGTACAAGCACTGGAGGATGTGAGTTCAGCACAACGCGTGGGCCACGGAGGGTGGGAGGGCGTTAGGAACGGAAACCGACAGCCTGTGTGGCACCGAGATGATATGTAACATGATGGGAATCTTGACGACCTTCACTGAGTGTTTTAGGGCTCCGCCGTCGCGTAGTTTTGTGTTTCTGCGACTGGTGCCGTTCGGTTGTTCTCTCGCTGTATCCGCAGTTTTAACAGACAAACGTACCATTTTGCTCAACCCCGCAGCCCTCACCCCTCCTCGTCCCTGCCCTCATTCAATTGCCGGGTTTGGGCTGTGTCGCTCTTTCGACGTACCTGAAGGCCGAAAGGATGGCGTGTCCTTGCGCGAGGGTGACCGGATGGAGGCTCATGATTGTTTCCGCCAGTCGCACGCCGACGAGACTGTCCACACCGTCACCTCCGGCTTTGACCTACCAAAGGGCCGGAAGTCGTGTAGAGAATAACACCGCAAACGAGAGCGCTACAGATCTTTGGAGTTTAGAGAAGTTCGTTCCGCCACTTCAAAACACATTGCCGGATGTGACCTAACACTACACGGAACTTATTTTCGGAGCTGGTGGTCAGCTGTCTTCTTGGGCGACCGCAATGGTTGTTGATGGCGGTATTGCGTACCAAACGTATAGTCTTGTCCCTGTTAAGCGGCAGCTTTGTAAACAAGCTTAACCGACGACAAGATTGGATGCCTCGACCGGTCACGAGACATTCTCCAAGCGCATTGGGAGCACAAACAGCGGCTGAAGGGTCAACTGCAGCACCGCTTTTCCTTTGCGCATGCCACCTCACCAGCTGCTTCCGTGTCCAACGTGCGACACGATGCTTTCGGAAAATTAGACGCTTTCGCGTTCTTGCTAGCCGTTCTCTTGCCTTCTGAATAGCGGCTTCCACGTGACCATCTTTCCAGACGGGAGGTAGGACGGGGCGGTTCGCCGCGAACGTCAGCTCTAGGAGCCCGGAATCGGGCAGCTCGAACGAACTTGGAGCTTCCGTGGGAAACAAAAACGCCTGAATTAATTCAAGTTTTGGCACGACGCAGGTGGGGGCGAGATCCCAATGAATCCATTCATTGTTATGTGATCCTGGTCGCTGCTTGCATGCATCTTCTTCAGTATCCAGCTGGTTCAACCACCATGTGCCCCCTAGGCCCTATCAGTAGGTTGCACCATTACTCCCTCCTCACCTTCTTATTGAGCTTCGATTGAACCCAACACTTGCCAGACTGAGTGCTGGCCAGCCTCTGCAGCCAGCGGGCGACGTGTCGATCGAGCGCATTCGACAAGTCCAGCCTGTCGAATCGCAGACGCAGCAAGACGGGAAGGGAACGAGCGAGGCTCGACTAAATCTCAAAGCCTTGAGCCTTTGGGACTGTACCACAGTGGGCAAGCAGGACGATTGATCGATCACTTTTTCGTTTGGACCAGAAACTGGCCACAGGCGCGTGTGGGTGGCCGCATCTTACCATCAATTTGTGGCGTGCTTGCCCCTCCCCGTTCACCCCTCTTGCCCCTACCCACACCTCCTGAAAACTCACGTGTATTCCCCGTTGGGCGACGTTGGGTTGAACGCCGACGCGTTGACCGCCCTGTCGACCGACCCGTCGTCGGTCGCTTTCCTCGCCAAGCAGCAATGCGCCATGTCAACGGTCAGCCAAGCCCCGTTCCCGCCGCCAACACAGCTGTCGGTATCCCTGCTGTTCTCACGGCTTGGTACGCTCCTCTTGCTCGTTTGGCTGTTGCTCCTGCTGCGGCGGCGGCTTCCGTCGCTCCGCCCCCCCGTGCTTTGGTAGCGATCTGCTTCTTCGCCATCGTCGGCCCCGTCGCCGTTGTGGCCGTTTGAGCCAGGTCCCCGTCTCCGTGCGACTCCCATTGCCAGCAGCAGCGCCTGGGCCCCGAAAGGGCCGATGGCGGTGCCGGGTACGCCCACATGTCTGAAAGGAAGGAACCCATGAGCGGGAGGCACGAAAACGGGGCGAGACAGACGTGGGCGCCAAGTAGGGTGGAGGCTAGCTGGCTAAAAGGTTCGGCTGGGTGGTAGGTCAAATGCGTCTCGTCGGTTTCAAACTAAGATTGACAAGCGTCCAACCGGTCTCGTGGGATGCTTATTGTGAGGGGCCTTAAGTTCCGCTCAAGAGATGCGGACCCCGGCTTGGATTCATCGATGTGGTGCTAAACCTGTCCATAGACGCCTCTGAGCCCTTTGAAATGTTGGCAATTAGATCCTGCGCACGTTTCGCGAGTCAGTCCCGATCTCGACCAGATCCTCCCCAATGCGCGTGGATTGCACAGCTCTCAAGTGGGTCCAGTGTTCGGTTACACATGAAGCTGACGCCAGAAAGCCCTGCCTCCAAGCCTGGTGCCGAGAGCACGACTTGCCAACCGTGAGCCAAACCTGTTCTAGGACGTTGTGGAGGCAGAGCCTCACGAGTGGCCAACAATCCAGGTTGTAGAGGCACGTTGGGCAACCTCAAAAACGTAAACGATAGGGCACCACTTACAACCTCCTCACCTTGTGCAAGCATGAACGAGCCTAGGTTGTCAAATTTTGGGTTATTGGCGGACAGGTCTTGGCTTGCTTCGTTGACTGAGTCCAGGCAAAATGACTTCTGCAGTCACACGAACCTGATGCCATAATTGCTGCCCACCAGCACCTCCGATAGCCGCACGCAAGCCTCTTCCCCCAGCCCCGCGTAGCCCAGCTCTAGCCTGGTGAGCGCTTGGTTTTCTTTGAGTGCTTCCACAAGGGCATCGGCCACCTGTTCGCGGACGTGTTTTTCATCGTGGCGGGAATTGGCGAGATGTTGTGAGACTTGCAGGACTATTTCTCTATTCTTCGGTGGGAGAAAAACTCACTTTGCAAGAAAAGCTCTATATTACGCCGGGATTCGAACCCCTGACCTGACCTCTAGAAGGTTTCGAGGATACCTACTAGACCACCGGGGCGACCGGGGGGGGCACTTTGCGTCCGTTGGAACCCGGTTTGAGCTGGGCGACAAATTGTACACAGGAATTGCCATCAATATTGGTTGGGAAGTTGGGAATACAGAGTTTTGGGAGGGAGTGCATCACGCACTACATGATTGAATCCCGGAGAGGGCGGCGACTTGGAAGAAGTTGGGGTTACTGCGGTGAAGTCACACGGATAATCACAGCCCAGAAAATAGTTCAAGATAACTGGGTGCTAGGCTACTAGGTTCTCTAAACACGGCTTCACCTTTTCTTCGGAGAGACTGTTCCATCCCAAATCGAGCGTTCGCAGGCTGGAGTTGACCGCTAGCGCTTGAACTATCATAGCCAGCTGAGGCGATGGACGGAGGGGGCTCACCATTGCCATTTGGTTGTTGGTCGTACGGGTTCATTGCTTTTTCGTCATCCATTTTTTCAAAGTGAATGTTGACGTGTACACCGTGCGAAGGGCGCGTTCGACGTGAAGAATCAGGCCCCAGCATTGTGCGTCAACGACGAATTAGACCGAGCACAATAAATACGCCAACAGTAAACGACATTTACCACAACACTACCAGCAACAATGATCCCAAGAGGGATATCTCGCCTGTTGTCCGCCCAAGTGGTTGTCACTAAGGTCGAGCTCTTTCAGGCTAATGTTAATGTCGATCAGGCTGGCCAGGGCTGTCCCTGCTCCTGAGGCGATGGTGATCACATTCAGCGGTGGAGAAAACGGGTGCAGTGACTGGAGATCATTTACTGCCAGGAAAAATAATGTGCAAATGCTAAGTTTCACTTCAAGATGGCAGTACCGAACACGCGCTAAGATCGGCCGTATGTGAGAGACACCCGGCGCAACATACGACAGGTGTGTACAGGCCTGCATCATGCACGATATTTCGTCCCCGCGAAAGTCACCCACGCGTCACGCCTGGTGGGATCCATGCGTGAAGCAAAACCACTTTCAACAAGGAACCCGGGGATCAATGCGGATAACCTGATACTGAAGGGAAAAGCAAACCCATCTTCTCAGCTCCGGTTGGTAGGGTGGGGGCGCTGGGGGTTACCGGGTAGGCATTGGTTGCAGTTTCCATCATCCTATGGTTGGCGGGGCGTGGATCTCCTCACCTTCGCCTCCAAATCCATTTCGAGATAAGCAGAGCGATTTCACGCTGGACCGGCGGTCATGCATTGGGGGCAAGAGGGCCGTGAGTGCTGCCAAGGACACACTGCAGCCGCGCAGTCGGAGGATCTTGAGAGACGAAGCCGGGGGTTCCAAAAGCTCTGCCAGAACAACAAACGAACCGGGCAGAGAGGCGAGTTGTGGATCCAGGCCAGGTTTTGAAGGAGAAAGCACCGTGGGTGGAACGTTTGGGGCCCCCTTCCGAAACCATTTAGTCTTAGTTAGAATTAACGCAAAATGTTGAGCGATAAACATCCTTTGGTTAAGTTCCCTTGTCATGAACTTTTCGGGGAAAACCCGAGTCGCTTTAGCGCAGACACTCTCCCTGAAATCTGCAACATTGGACGTACTACAGAGCAACGTCTTCACCTGAAAGAATCTCAGCCGTACTCGCTCTCTTGATCTGATTCCCGGAAATGTCGAGGGAAACGATCCCTCGGCCCTCCTCCTTCAGAGCCTGCAAAATGGATACCATGGCTGATTCTGGCACGCCACAGTCCTCGATGTTGAGTGACCGGAGCGTTGCCACTCGGAAAGTCTTCAAGAACGCCGCCAAGGCGAGCGACCGCTTGGGTCCTAACCCGTAGCTGTTGGGACGAAGGTTGCGGCATCGATTTCATCGTGTCGGTGAAAGGTTGGGGGGCAGTTATCGGCGTGGTGCACTTCAACGTGAGCCAGACAGGGGTGGCACGTACGAATCCGTGTTGGGGCCAAAGGATGTTTGAATCTCGACGAAGTGTTGTAACGGTGATGGTATGACGGGAGTCACTCGATTCGCGAACTGAAAACGATGGTTTGCGGGGGGGATTTGCAAGGTCTGCCACTAGCTAGATGTTTAGACTAGTTCCAGCATTCCGAAACCCTTGCTGGTCCGAGGTAAGCCACGCCGAACAATTGCAAAGCCCGCGGCTACAGCAAACGCTTAGCAGGTTTGGGTTAAAAAGTCTTGCGGTAGGCGCGCTTCGATATGTGCGTTACATGATAGGGTGAAGGTTTAAAGATCGACAGAAAAACAGAACAACGCGTGGTTGTACCACAATGCCCCCTCCCCACCGGTAGTGCGAACGCCCTCTACCCCTAATTCGGCCGAGCAATGGATAAAAAGTTTTAGTTTATCCTCCAGAGGGGGGGAGATTAAAAAAGCGCCCCATTCTCCCCCTTGTCCTCACCACGTTCTGTGATTTTGGCATGACTGCCAAGAAGAACACTACGATTTGAGACCAATTCCGCCGTTTCATTCGGCCCTGCGTGAGTGTGAACCAATGAACGCATGCACCTTAGCCCATCCCCCCTTACTCCGGCCAGCATGTTGCTAAATGTTTACATGCCCCAGGCCGAGAGGACGGTTCAAAACACAAAAAACAAGGTATGACCCCTCACCGTCCTTTCTCCGAGAGGTTAGACTTTATTCAAGGAAAGGGTGGCCCCTTGGGGAACAAAAATAATCTTACCTCCTGAGGTCCAAATCGAAAAGTGGAATACTGTCCGAGTCTTCCCCTGCGTCTTCTGCTGCCGCCACAGAGCCATTTCCACATTTGCTTCCGAAGGCCAGTAGTTGGTCAAAAACTGGGATGGGAGACAGAGAAAGCTCGGCGCACGCCCTGATATATTCTGTTCTAGACGTGACAGGCCGTTCTCTCAGGTCTCTCTCCTGGACATACACGTGTCGGTTGGCATGATGTGGGGCGTTACAAGTCATAGGGAGGCGTTACGAGTGATAGGGAAGTGCAGGGACGCTAACGACTTCCTTCGTAGATCGAAAATGATCGTTGCTAGAAAATAAATACTGTAAGAGACGTCGCAGATGCGGGCGGAGGGGGTCCGCGTGGCTGCACATGGCCGGCTGCTCTTTTCGCGCGAACGATAACGGGAACCAACGGAAAGGTTGTGGAGATTCTTGTGTGTCGACATCTCCTCGACACCAACGATTGTGCAATGATTCCAGAACACGTTTGGTCTCTCTTGAACACCGACAAGCGGCCATAACGGACAGATATCCGTTGCACACTGCTGTGCTTCTTGGGAATGAAGTAGTGCATGACCTCTCAACTTGCGAGACTCAAATAGCCGATCATGATGACCATTTTTTGTTCAGGGCAATCAAAGCTACACCCGCGTTTTCTCGAAATTTCGGGCCAGGGTACTGTTCTGCATCGTTGCAAGCTGGTGCTGTTCCACAACTCACTCGGTCACACGTACGTGGAAAATGCTGAAAATGTTGCTGCTGTCGAAATGAGACGCTGACATTGGTCTCCGTTGTTGCTGGACCTCCACGCCGTCCTTGTGGTCCCCCGGTACAACGTGCCCCTGTTCTCCTCCTGCGGGGGCTGTACTCATCCCCGACACCCCCGGCTGCAAACATCCGGTTACACCAAGTCGGTTGGGCGGCCAGGCTGTTACCGGTTTTGGGTTCAGCGGGGTGAGATCGAAATGCATTTCAACTACCAGATCAAACTACCAGATCTGAATGGGTTAGACAGCCTCACCACGTCCACCGTGTCGTCCCCGACTGGAAGCCGTCCATTGTTCGCCTCTACTCCTTGTCCCCCACCAGCCGCCTTCCCTCCTCGCTCCTTGACTCCGTCCTGAGCAGCGGCCCCCATGCCCACAGAAGACACGAGGGAATCAACTTGCTTTAGATCGCCAGTCACCGGCATCAGAAGATGGCGCGTCTTCCTCGTCATATCCTTCCGCATGCTGCACGCGTTGGCGCTGCTGAAGCGCGCCTCCCCCGCCGTGGCGGCCGGCTGAGAGGGTTTCATCAGCGCCAGATCGAAATCTTCCACTTCCGCTGCCGTGCAGACGCCGGTGGTCGGGCCCTCCGAGTCTAAGTCGTCGCCTGCGTCTTCGAAGCATTCGGCTCCCGAACAGCTCTTGCAAAGTTGAACGTGTTGCATTGCAGGTGGCGGGGGGGGTACACGCGGTGGAGTCATGGTGATCCTGACAACACATACAAGGCCGCTATAGGGTACCGTGACTTGCTACTAGGTAGTATTTCCTCTTGGAAAAAGGAGGTAACAAAGCGGCGAGCCTCCCCAGGTGCGAATGATGTCCGACGTTGAGATGTTACAGTAACCCCGTAATTCCTTCGGGGATGAAAATACCTACCTGTTGTGCCTGTTCGAAACATGTGTTCCCGCTCGCACATGGCTTGGAGCACGGTCGTAAGCGTTAGACAGGCGGTTTCGTTCTAGATGTAAGCAGTGGTACTCGATAGGACGATCAAGTCTTCCGTTGTCCTGTCACGTGGAGATACGCACGAAGATGCCATGATCGTACCTTACAACCTCCATGTGGTCGAAGTGAAAATTCATTGCAGCTATTGGCTTCCTCACATGCCCAACGTTAGCGTGCCCTTCCTTCAGTTCCTCACATGATGCGACAACATCGGGCACTTTCTATTCTCTACGGGGGCGCGTTGCGTAGCACATGGGGTCCAAGTGAAGCGCTCGGCGCTGAGGCTGGAAGCTTTGATCTCTTTTCGATATCAAGGCCAACCGTCCTCCGTGCACTATAGTGAGAGGCTGTTTATCACGTTCCCTTTTCACCTGTTGCTCTGGCCTCGACCCCGTGCGTGAAGACCTTCCCCCCTGATCGGACTGATCGGACATGCATGCCACTGATTCGTCACTTGGAGGCTGGCCTCCACTTTCGACGGAACCAACGCCTATCGCCTCGGGCGTCAGAGGCCGGCGACTCGAAGGCAAGTCGAACTTGTTCGGTGCACGACGAAACGCACGCAATCGAGAAATGTTCTAATTGGATGGTGGGCGAATGAAGAGACCGAGAGCTACAAGGTGGCAGTTTTTAACTACTTCTGCTGCAAACAAAGACACAACACGGATAAATCCCAAAAAAAAACTGTGAAAGGTGACAGCCGTGGCAGCGTCCATATGTAACATGGTGAAGCAGATCGGAACGGGAAGAATCGTCGCCATAAGACTAGCGATATCGACACACCTCGCGCGCTAGGTCTTGGAACGCCTTGAGTGCCAGCTCGTACGCCCGTTTCGTCCCGTTAGTCCTGCGAGGAATGGATGCCTCGGGGGACTTTTTGTCCTCCGGCTTCCACACTTTTTCATTGTCGCCGCCCCCCACATGTTCAAAGCTGTTTGGGAAAACGTTTCAAGATGCAATGTTCGTATCGTTCCGTGACCGAGCGGCTGACAGCGGTTTAATGGGCGCGGGGAGATGGAAAACTCACACCAAGAGCTGTTCTCTTTGATTTTGTTGGTCCTGATGCGCGTGACCCTGTGGTGTTTGTGTTGAACTTGTATTAAATTTTTGGTCTCAACGGATGATGCCTAAATATGGTCTCAGCATTCCATTTGTCTGATAAGGGGCAGCCTCAGCTCTTTCAGGAGACGTGCCGCACCCAAGCAGAAGGAAAGCAGGGAAACGTGAATTTTGCTGTTTGCGTCAACATTCGAACCTAATGTCGGGCTAAAACTATACGATATCACGTACGTAGAACAGCACAAAGCACGAGTAAACGCAACGAACACGGAAGACACAGACAGTATTTTTCCACTTGATCTCTCCGTAATAGGCATCCAAGCTCAGTATCACCCCCTTCCCCTGCCAGAACGTAGGGTCCAAAGCAGGTGAAAGAAGGGAGGTAGTGGTCTCTGAAGCTACGGTTTTCACCCCGATTCGCTCCTTTTTCAAGGCACAGATGGAACTTTGAAACACTTTGGTCGAAAACAGGTGGCCTTCACACACAAAGCTGGCCGACTACCCGACCGCTTACCTCGCTGGAAAGCCCGAAGCTTGAGACTGCCCGCCTTTTCCCCGCCCGTGTCCATCTTGGTTCACTCGATGATCATGTTCGGCTCTGCCCTCTCCAAATCTGCCACTTGAAGAAGTATTTTTATCACAGCATTGGTTTTCTATTGGTGACATCATTGCAAAGCAACCCGGCGGATACTCATATTAATGCTAAACTGCATTGCTTCTAGCGCTAGGACGTCCAGAGGTCCACTGCCTTTGGTCGCGGCTTGGGTGGCTTTTAATCGCTACTGGACTCGTTCGGTTTCATTGGTGCTACAGCGGGAGATCAGCCCGTGACCAAGGATCGCGATGGCTAGCTTCCGGAGAAACTATTAACGTACCAGGTGACCACCAGCAGGCTACTAGCAGTTCTATGGAAAATGCGTGTCTAGGACAGTCCTTGAACGGCTTTCTGTCCGTGATGAACAGAGTGAAAAACATGCCCACGCGATTATCGCCAACAACAACACATTTCCGTGCTGTAAGAAGTGTGTAGCATTTTCTTCATTATTTTCATGCCTGCTGAAAAATGTTCCAGAGCACCACCCAAGAAGATATTGGAACGATGGCAACCATTGCCACGGTCAGACGTGCGAGACACCCACCAACAAGTGGGTGCTCCCGACACTGACAACAAGTGGGTGCTCCCGACGACTGAATGACCGCGCCATAGACACTCAGCAGCGTAAGCTTTGATCCGGGGCGTTATAATGCGTCATACAAGTAGAAGCTCAGCATGTATTAGCTTCGATCCGGGGTGGTAACCACTGGGTAGGAACCTCAACTTTGCACTCTACATAACCCACTCTATGCACCACTGTTCATGAGTGTTCTTCGCACTCTAGGCGATGCCAACTCAACCTCGCAAAGGCAGAGTTCTCTGTATCAAGGCTTACTTCAACGCTTCATTCACAGCCACCCGGTGTGTGTTCATCTTTACCAACTCCAAGAACAAAAGCACACTCACTCGCTTGCGCTGATTCCACCACTCTTGGAGGTTACAAAGCCCCCTCCATTGGCCCTGGGAAAGCCTATGCTTCGTAGCCTCTCTATGCTCTTGTGGTTAAACTTCGTATGACGGACGGCGGAACCCGGTGGCGGCTCCGCATGAGTTGGTGCTGGATGTCGCGGGGATAAACTCTTCGAGTTTCGCTCTCGAACAGGGCGCTGAGGAGAGGCCACTACCATCGTACCGTACCGGAGGTTGACTGTCGGGTTGCGCCACAGAGCTAACTTTCACCAACGACAACCTCAGAGAAAGTTAGACCTGCCCGCGGGGAGACCGCGTCTTGCGCCCTCTCAAACCATGCATACACATTCATGTGTTCACGGCCCGCCCAGAAATCGACCACCACGCCTGTACCACAATTCAAAAATCTGGATGCCAAGAGGCGAGATAGTGTGTGGAATGAGAGAGGGTAGAGAGATGCACAGCGCGTAAGTATCCCAGAGCTGCTAAGCAAAGTTGAAAAGCTAAATGTGTTGACATTGTGAGTTCCCTTTCGGGAGAACCAACATGTAATCTCGCCGCTCCGGGGATGTTATGTAATCTCGCCGCTCCGGGGATGATCATCAACCACCCCCGATGTTTGCCAACGCAAAGGTTTTGTAACATTTCCATTTGCCCCGCCCATATTCCCCGCAACCCCGCAGCCATATATAGCCATCTCAAAACTCGCTACAGTACGGAGAGCATACCACACAAAGACATCAGGTTAGACAAGCGGCTTCTGCGGAGGTGATGGCCATTTGCCGAAGGCATGCGACCTGGTCAGTCGCGACCCTCACGGATGGACTTGTCACAAACTTCATTGTTCCCATGGGCCCGCTCCTGCTGCTGTCGCATCTAGAGTTTGTCCATCCCTACCTCACCACGGCAGAAGATGTCGATCCTCTCCAGGCACAGGCGCATAAGGATGGCATGGGCAATGAGGTTTCGATGCACTGGGCTGTCGTGGCGAGATTGTGGAGTCAGGTATGCGGTGGAAGCAGGGCAATGACCCCAAGATGACTGCCGTTCGTGTGTGGAAATAATTCTTCTTCAACCGTTGCCGCCAAACGGAAATGGTGGTGTGGTGAGCACCCACAGCCCAGCTGTCAAGCCCGCTGTGTACAGTCAAACCACAAATTGCTGTTATCTGTTTCCCGGGTGGCCTGCCTCCGCAGCTCCGAATACTGCACACAACATGCACGTGCACACACAGTATTATTTTCCATCGAACAGTGATCGGTGCACCGGCGTGTGGCAAGTCCCTTGCGCGTTTGCTCCATGGATTGCACACTTCGTGTAGTAAATAATTCGAAGAGAAGGCCTACAGCACAGCAGCTGTACTGCTGCACGTATGCAAGTAGGTCGCTTTGCCTTCCCTCCCTCTCGCACGACGCACACTTACCCATTAAGGAGCTCGTGTGACCTCACCGGCCTTGCCGTAAACTGATACTCCGAAGGAGACATCATTTAAGTTGTTGGGCGGCCGAAGGAGAATGGGTACCGGTATCATGTATGTAGCCGTGGCGGGATTGTCGCACAATCGGGGTAGTCGCACGGAAAACACCCACCAACCCCGCTCGATCGCGACATGCCATTAGGTATTGCGGAATTGCGGCTCCTCTGGTGAATCTCGAGCAAATTGCGCGCCAAATCGGTAACTCAGCGAGTAGTGACAGCCTTTGTTTCATTTTTTGCGGCATCGCATGGCCATTATTCGGATTCCGCACCGGAGAACGGCTGACGAAAAGGTTCTGCAGAACGAAGGTGGAGAGCAATTTCCTTTAGTTCCACAAACTGCTTGCTGCCTATCTCGCGTGACATGTACATAGACTGCACCCGACAAGAATACACAAAAAAGAAAAAAGTACTATTCATGTTCGTAGGATAGCTCCGTAGCATAGCTCCGGGAGAGTACAGTAACGAACTGCATATTGTTGAAAACATTGGGGTGTCGCAGTGTTTGTTCTGCGGCAGGTCTGCCATCAGGGCTTCGCTTCTTTTAAGCACGAGACCGCGAAACTGTTGGTATCCATCCACCAATGATCACGGAGATATCTACCTAGAATAGAAATATGCATAGCACCGGGCTACCACACATGGGATAGCGATGGTAGAGTCGACATCAGTCGAGAAAAGAGAATGTGGAAGCAACGAAGAAATCATTTTCGTCGCGCTACCCCCGCCGGTCAACACTCATTGGAGGTTTGTCACCGAAGGTTATGAACTTTTCAGGTGCACCATCCCTCCCGCCTTCATTCCCTTCCCCCCCCCCCCAGCATCTCTCTCTCGTTGCCTTCTCATCTCTGCATGGCGATGCGCACGCGGAGCCTGTTGACAGCGCACCAGTAGCATGCGTACGGAGCCGCCCACTTTGAACTCGTTGCGTCGCGAAGGTAGCAAATAACACACCCTTGTCCTTCATGCGCAACACGCAAGGGAGGGGCGATCTTGTTGAGCGTCCACCAATGTACGGGGTCAGCGATATATCGCGCGGGTCGGGGAGAAAGCACATCGGGTGCGTCGCACTGGACAAGGGGGAGAAACATCGGCAGCCATTCTGAAAATGACGGCACGGATGTGCGGTCCGTACTTATCCGACTCTTTTGTTCGTCCCGTCGCCTTCATTCCGACGTGACAACAGTGGCTCTCTCCCATGCCTCGCACCATGACCGCGTCATTTGTTCCACCTCGGGCAGGCGTTTGCGGGGTTCCTGGCGGGCAGGACCGCCGGCAGAGTGCTTGGCCCGGCCGCGGCTTCTCGGGTCAGCCTGGGGGTGGTGGTTGCGGTCGGCGTGATCGGCGTGGCCATCACCCAGGCGTGGCTTGGGCTGGCCGGCGTAACGGAAACGAGGGTGAGATACAGCCAGTGAACAAGCCGATCGAGGAGAACGATTGTGTCTAATAATAGTTGCTGGAAGAAAAAGAAACGGACGGTGATGATCCTAAGGCTATGTAGACAGCAGCACGTCTTGCTGGAGATAATGTTTGCTTGCGCTCCCCGCCCCCCCCCCCCCCCTTCGCCCCGACTTCAGTTCTTTTGGGCGCGAACACTGGGTGGTATCCTCACGGGAGCCCTCTGCAGCGGCGCACTGTCCATGTCGGCGCCTTGCCCCCGCTCCTCCTCGTGCGAGCGGTGCAGCGCTTTCCCGGGATCGAGACATTTCTCGGAAATTTCCTCCAAGGGGGGAGACTTGAGCAGCAACTCTTCCAGCACCATCGCCGCCGGACTCAGGCGCGCGGACTCCGGGTGGCACCTGGGCCTGGTGCTCGGCCTCCTGATCGGCGGCCTGTGCTACGGCCGGGGAGGGGGGGGGGGATCCAGCGTGGTGGCGAAGGACGGGGGGGAGGGGACGTCGTGGTTCGATGACAAGCCCGCGTTCGTGGCGTGCGCTGCCGCCTGCTCGGTGGTGCTGTCCGTCGCCGTGGTGGCCTGGCGGCGCACCGGCAACGACGGCGCGATAAAAAGTGAAACCGTCGTCGGGTGCGGCCGAACAACCGGGGCCCTGAGCGTCTTCGGCCGCCGCCTCCGGCATGGTAAGGGGGGTTCCGCAGGGCGAAAGGAGGCGTTTGGGGAGGGGGAGGACGGTGGGGAGGAGGAGCCCTTGCTGGCTGGTGGATCTCTTGACGCCCCTGGGCCGTCGTCATCGGCGTCTGAGCCGGGCGAGAGAACTGACGTGGAGGCAGGGGCGGGGGGTGGCGCTGATTGCCCCGTGTCTTCGAGGTGAGATGAGGGGAGGGCGTGTGAGTGGGAAGGGCGGATTGGGTGTGCTTGCATTTCATTGCTTTGGGTCTCGAGTATGTTCTCGTGTCAGCGGTTGGAACTGATTCGGTTCTTTCCACGCGCCTGCGACCGTTTTCCTGGGCGCTTGCAACTGCAGAATGGGCATCAGATTCACTGAAACTGCTGGTATTTTCGGACACGACCGGTAGATAGTACAGCAGTATGATGGAGGGAGCCTGAATACAAGGGAAAACGTCGAACCGCTCTCACGTCCATGAGAAGAAGCGGTTTCAGCGTGTACGAGTCCTATATTCTTCTAGTCGCGTGTTTCTGGTGACATGTGACGTGTGGCCACACCAACATGCTTGTGGCCCCTTATCACCACCCCGCGTTTTCGTTGATTTCCTTCTATTTTCCGTATTTTTGGCGCAAGGTATCTGGCCGCCTGCAAGGGAAACACGGTCGCCGCGAAGGCGATGTGGGACGAAACCGTCAAGTGAGTTGGTCAACTTTGTGTTTGTCTTTGGTGCAAACGCTCGCAAGCGGCACCTCGTTCGCAGGGGTCCTACTTCTTTCTAGGATAGCTTGCTAGAAACGTGGCGATAGTTGCGGTAGCCCTCTGCAATATTAGGTACCAGTCCATGGTCACATCCCTGTTCTATTGTCTCAGCTCGTGTGTTTGTCGCCCTGCTGCTTGTCGAAGATGGCGAACGGACACAGGAGCCGAGCGGTCGCTTTCCACCCCCCAGCCGACCCTGGACATCATCAAGCAGTGCTACCCTTACTTCGTGCACGGCCGTTCCAAGAAGGGCGAAGTAGTGGTCTACGAGCAAACGGGGAAGATGCAGTTCGGCCGCCTCGCGGATGCCGGCGTTTCCCCGTTCGATATGCAGGTTGGGGTTTCTTTCATGGGCAGGGTGGGGTGTGTGTTGGCCAAGACCCCGTGTCTTGTGTGTTGTGCACAATCGAATATGATGGAGTTGTCGATGCGAGTTCGATGTACGTCGCATCAAGAGCAAGAAGCAGTTGGTTTGGACGCATGCGGCGGTATCGCGCGAGCGAGTTGCTCCCTCGGAGGTGGGCCCGGCCTTCTGACATTCGTCTTATCGTTCGTCTCACTCCGAATCCTACCAGAACCCAGTCCTAACTGCCTATATAGCGGCTTAGCACATCTTGTGTATAGACGTCTTTAACTGTGGGGTATCCGCCTGTTGTCTCGCTCAGTGCTGCCACGCTATCCTTACTCTACGCTCCGCTCAGCGCCACAGCAGCGTGGGTCGCGTGTGCTGCATCTCCTCTCTCCCAACCTGTGCTCCCGTCGTCTGCCGTCCTTCGTTTCTTATCCGACACCGCCAGATGCACTACGCGTTCTTCAACGACTTCGTGTTCAGCAAGCTCAACGACGAGGACGACGACGATGCCAAGCTCATGACCGTGCTCGACGTCGGGGAGCTCCGGCTGGCGACCATCAAGAACAACACGGTCGTTACAAAGTGAGCCTATAGTATATATACCACACGGTTCGGAAATATAGGGACCATTGGGACAAATCGCATCAGAATACGAACGGTCCCTAATGTACGGAGTGGTGTGTATCTGGCTTCCCCAGATGGATAGATCTGGTGAGCTCGGGTACGCCCTCGTTGGCCCAGACGTCATTGAGCGTTTGTTTGGTCTTTGGGAATCGCTTTCTTGGGCTGCTACCAAAAGGTACTTGCTCAGGGCTATTTAGGCGGACGTTTTGTTGCGGGGCGAAAGCGGCGGGCGTTTACCTACCTATCATCTGACATACATTGGTTCTCTTTGCGCTAAGTTGATTTGGTCCCAAAAGCTATTTGTCGGCACAACCCTGGTGTGCTTATTTCCTGCCCGGTGCTGCAGCAACAACGGTGTTGTTAATAGCATTACATCAATGGCCGTGCATGATGTCGACCACCCCCCTCCCACGCGCCGTACCCGGTAGATCTGCTTCAAGACCCCCCCCTCCAATGGTCTAACAACTAAGGCATACAAAACATACCCCTCCCCCTCCCCACTCTGCGTACCCCCCCCCGTCAGATACCTCGCCGCCACGGCGGAGGTGATGCAGAAGCACTACCCCGAGCGCCAGAGCCGCATCCTGGTGGTGAACGCCCCGTGGTGGTTCGCGGGCATCTGGAAGGGGGTGTCCGGAGTCCTGTCTTCGGGGACCCAGGCGAAGCTGCAGATCAGGGGGAAGAACTTCTTGCCGACGCTGCTGGAGCACGTGGACGCTTCGCAGGTGTTTGTGTGTTTGTGGCCGACGTGACTTTGCCGAACGAAGCAGTACTGCTGCATAGCATCTGATACCGGTACGGGTTTTGAGTGCCGTGTTGGTTGTTTTGGGTTTTGGCTCTTCGGTTTGGGGCTTGCTCTGTGTAAGGGCCATTGGTAGTGCCTTGTGAACCCGGAGGAAAGCGCATGACTTAGACTGTGAAGAGTTGGGAATATGATGCCCTGGATAGAGGCGGCAACACAAGCAACAGCAAGAACGAACGGACTCACTGCTTTCGTTGTGACATTTGCAGGCATGTATTTCACGTGTTATTTACAATTGTCTTCGGCCTACTGGTATTTGTAGTTTGAATACTGCTGTGACTACCAAATGTTTCGAGCCCAAGCGTGCTGCCTCTTTGGCGTACGAATCACCCCCCTCATGTTGGAGTTGATTCAGCATTGTAAGGCAGAACTGCTCACAAGGATGTTGGCCGGAAGACTAGACGGGATGTCAAGGCTAGGGTTTTGGAAATAACACGCCTCACGGTTGTGCGAAACTGCTCTGCGTCTGTCTTGCCCCCCTTTGTGCCAGATACCCTCGGAATACGGCGGTGATAGCCCGCAAGCCCTGGGAGAGTCCACGGATGAGATGGCCTTGTGTAGACTGGCAGCTAGCTTGGGTCCGACGTCGTTGCCGCCGCCGCCAGAAGGGGCTGCACCCTCGCGGTCCGATGCCGGCGACGGCGAAAGGAGCGGCGATGGGTCGGCGGTTGGCAGTGTCGCTAGCGGGGACGGGGACGACGATCATCTTGTCCCGGATTATAGCGACGGTGTTGGTAGTGAGAGCGGGGTCATGGAGGAGGGTGGAATTCCTGGTGAATTTGTTGGCGGCGGCGGCGGCGGGGGTAGTAGCCATGGCCTTCGCGATGGCGAGGAAGGCAGCGCGCTGCAGGCGTCCCCGCGGCCGCGCGAGAGCTCGGCCGTCTCTGCTGCCGCCGCCGCCGGCGGCGCTAGTCGCGACGCAAAAGGGGCGAGCTTTGGTCCCGGGAGCGGCGAAGACGGGGACGGCGGCGAGAGGGGACCATCGGCAGACGGCGGCGGCAGCACCGGGGGGCTAGGCGTGACCCAGCGGTTCGCGTCGGCAGTGCGAAGGATGCGAGGGGGCGCCACTAGGGCATACCTCGGTGTGGAGAACAAATTCCGGTACGACACGGCCCGACGGATGTGGGTGATGGAGGGCGAGGGGAGGGGTCGAAGCGGGGCGACAGGGAACGACGGCAGCGGTGGTGTCGGCGAGAGAACAAGGCGCAAAGACACAGGAGGCGCGCAGGTAAGCGGGGCGGCTGCATCACGGATGTGTTGCGGTCTGTGTGTGTATGCGTGTTTTTATCGGATACTGCTGTGTGCCTGTGCTCGGCCGTCTCTTTGAAGTGTTTGGCCCCTTTGCCCGCTTCTCGAAGGCGGTGCAAAGGGATTGCCTGGTCACGTCGATTGGTGCCTTAGTGCCTTCTGCCTCGTAATGCCTCTGGTGCTTGGTGGAGTTACACACCTGCCGTAGGTCTTGCTAGACCGTTCGGCTAAGTGCCATGTACACCTCGTCTCCGAGGCGGCACAACTACCGTAAGAGGCGAGAATATAGCACCCCTCCCCCAGACTGATTTTCAAAGCTCGATTGCTCCACAACCAAGATTGTCTGTACCGTACCGTATACCGCACCGTGGTATTCCGTAAGAGTCGGAGAGACGGCACCCCCCCTAGACCGATTTTCAAAGCTCGATTGCTCCACAACCAAGATGGTGCCAACATCAAACACGGTGGTTTTGGAGACATGTCGTCGAGGACTTGGCGTACAAGTATCGGGCTTCTTCCGCACCTCCTTTGGTTGCGGAGCGATCGAGCTCTGAAAAGTGGGGGTGCCATCTCTCCGCTCTCGCTTCCGTTGTACATGCTCCCATCTCACGCTTCGTGATGACGACCTTCCCGCGGCCGCACCATAGGATGAAACCGCCAGAGATAGCGACGGCGACAAGGACAACTCGGAGCAGAACTTGATCCGCGCCATCCAAGCCGCGCAGCAGGCGCGGGGCGGAGCGAAGAGCGTTTTCTCCTCCGGGGCCAACGGCGGCAACGGCGGCGGCGGCGGCGGCGACATTGTCAGGACGTGGAGGATGGACGGCCCGCCCCCGGGGGGGAGCGAGGGCGGCGAGACTACGGCAGCGGTGGTTCTGGCGCTGCACCTGGTGTGGGTGGCGTTGGAAGCGGCCACAGAGGCTTTGCTGCCGTTGTGGATGCTATCCCCTGGTAAGGAAGGCAGTGGGCCATGGCATACCGTAGGCGGCGTACGATGCCGCATGAGCTGGATTGGTATTTTGAGGCTCGATAAATCCGTGACGACCAAGTGATGCGTTATCGGAAAAGCTCTCGACGAGACGGTTCCAACGACGCCGTTTTGGGTACCGTCGCCGCTTTTGCTGCAGAGCAGCCCAACTTTCGAAGTCGACCCACGGCAGGCCCCACTTCATGCTCGCGTTTTTGTGTTCCCGACTATGTCTGTAAGGGTTGCGACCGCATGCACACTGCTTGGTGTTGTCGTCGATGGTCATCCTCGGTCTCCCTTGCAGCGCGAATTTCCCTTCCTCAAGCCATCGTGCGTCCCAGATCAGCCTAGGCTTCTTAGGCCAAGCGTTTTCCGCGTTAGGCCCACCCTCGCTCCGTGCTTCGCGACCTTTTTTTTTTTTTGCGGAAGCAGGGGGTCACGGCGGTCTCGGGTTCTCGGCTGCAGACACGGGTGTCGTTCTGGCGATCGCGGTGGCCGCGCTGGCCTTGCCGCGGTACTTCTCTCCGGCCGCGCTGCTGCGGGTGGCCGCTCGCTCCCCCGTCCGCACGCTCCGGGCGGCCACGAGCGTCCAGGTGAAAAACACAACCGAAGCTTTTATAGCGTTCGATGTATGTAGATGCGGTTTGTGTGCGTGTGTTGTTTTGGTTTTTCGGCGCTGCTCGTTGATGTGCCTTTTTTTTTCGTCTGTATCGGCGTGCCTTGTAGGCATCGCGTTGTGGGACAGACAGACCCGGAGCTCTGGAAATGTGCCCTCGGAGGAACTCAGAAGCTGCACCAGCACTTGTAGGCTCTATGCAGCCTGCTTTTGCTCCGCCCATCAGGCACCCGGAACGTTTTTCAAGCGTACGGTATTTCTGCCGTGCTCATGTGGCCGGGCGTACAGGCAAAACCAACGCTCTTGCGCCACTCTTGCCCTCACGACGGGGACAACGCGCCGAAGAATCGTCTATTTTCCGTGTCTCACCGTCAGACGTGCTTCCCCCCCCCCCCCCCCCCCCGGAATTTAGAAAGGGTATTCCCCCCCCCTTTCCGTTCGGGGGAGAAACCCCCGGGTGGAAGAGGAAGGGGCCCCTTTTCCGAAACTCC